CCCCTTTTCCCTTTCAGGATCTCTCCGGGGGCGGCCGCCGGCCCCACGCGCGGGTTTGCGCCGCGACGCGCAGGGTGCTCGGGAGGCGCGGGAACCGCTGCGCGAGGGCACCCGCACACCCCCAGCGGGGCTGCCCGGCCCGGGGCGGCCCCGCACCCGCTGCCCCGCGGCTGCCGCTCCCCGACGGAGCCCCAGGGCCACCCCGCGCTGGTCGGAGCTGCCGCTGCCGCCGGGTCCCCCGACGGGGCAGGCGGGACAAAGTCACCGCCGGGGCGGTGCACGGGCCCGCGCGGGGGCGCGCACGACCGACTGCCCCTCACCCCCGCACTCCGGGCTGCTCCCACGCGTATTTCCCTCCGCCCTGGCACCGCGGGCCAGACCCAACAGACCCCACGGAGGCGCCTCCGCCTGGGGCCCACGGCGAGGGTCTGAGGGACCCTCACTGCCCGCTCAGGTCCTCAGCACAGGCCCCGTGTGCCTGGGTGACATGTTCAGCCTCCGCGTGTAGCTCTAAGTGCTGCAGGAGCTTTGGGACAAGGGTGCAGAAGTGTGTCTGGACGCACAGAGAGATAGGCTAAATTTGGCAGGTGAATGACTCTCTTGAATTCTTTCCTCTTTTTTTTTTTTTTTTTTTTTTTTTTCTTTTTTCTTCATTTCTAAAGAACACAAGGATGTGTATAGAGGTGAAACTACATGCCAATAAGTAAATAGCTACATTTGACACTGCTCTTGTCCCTGCTGCATCTCAACTTAGCTTCGGCCATGGACAATCTGCCCACTGCAGGGAAAGAGCAGCTGAGTTAGGGGAAGTGAAGCACCTTCGCCAAGGTCACTGGGCAGTGGAGCAGCCATGACCCCGGCCTGTGACACCGGGCACATGCCACCTTGTGTGGCATTTTTCCTCCTTCCTCCTATGCAGGTTGATTCAGCAACTCAAGGTGCAGCAAAAATACTCTTGTGCCTAGGTGGCAGAGGAGGAGGAAAGGCTCTTCCTCCTGAAGACTTCAATTCCCACAGAAGTGGGGCTGAGGGATCCTTGTACAGTGTGTGTTTGGGTTTTGTATCCAGCCAAGACCTTCGCGGTGCCCTGCAGGGCCCAGTGTCCCCACGGTRGCATCGGCAGTGACTGGGCACGCTCTTGCCACCACTGGTGGGTGCATTKCTCTTTTTGTCCCTTGCCATCCTGCAGCTCCCCAAACTGTTAGCACAGAAAGCAACAAACTTGCAGCTTGCAGTCTGTCTTTGAACTCTTGCAGAAGTCCTCTGTCCTTTTCCTGCTTATCAATAAGTCATAAGAGAGTTGCACTGTTTATATTCTGCATGATGGGCACAATGGATCCTGAGAGAAAATAATTTATATTAGTGAAGTTTGGATTCAAAGTTTGAGTGCCATCAGGTCTGTGGGCTCTCCTCTCCCATTGCTCTGCATCTGCCTAATGCTCAGTACAGATCAGATAAAAATGTGAGATTTCCTCCTGAAGCAGTGATGATCAAGTCTATTGTCAACAGCAAGATCTGCATGGGAATTAAATCTTCCTCCAAATTTTCGTGCTGCTGAGGAGAAAAGCTGGCGGCTTTCTGTTTGCATTTCTTTCTTCAAGGGAAAAAAAGGCAAGAAATTTAGGGAAACTTTTGATATGTGTCCACGACCATGAATGATTCGTGTGTCCCTTTGTGGCATGAAAATAAAATTGAAAGTGACAGGGGTATATTGTTAAAATTGCCTTTTCTTTGATCATTTTCCTTGCAGCGTCTGTTCAGACTAAGTGAGGTAGCAGAGTTGCAAATTTTTTTTTTTCCTGAGGTGGAGAAGGTCCGAGTGCTTTCATACATAAAAACAAGAATGCCCTCAAACCACTAAGGCCCGATTCTGCCCTTACTTATGCTGCCATGAATTAAAAATAACTCTACTGCAATCAATAGAGCATCATCAGTACGTGTGTGAGAAAGGGAAGAGCTGGGTGCCTAATGTATGTAACTGCTGAATTTAGAGCCTTTCCTTGTTTCCCCTTTGCCACAGCTCTTGCTTTCAAAAAGGAAACCTTTGGAAGACAGTGTCTTTAACCTGGAGAGCTGTTGCAACTTTGGTGGTTCTGTGGGCTGCAATTTAATTCAAGAACCTGGTCCTGATGGAAATAGAATTGTTAAAAAAAATCCAGAGAAGAGAAAGTGAACTAAACTAATCCTATTAAACGTGGTAGCATGTTTCTGTGCAGCGGGCTGAGAGATTAAGCACAGGAAAAGGGATAAGTGCTGCTTCAGTTTCACTAAACTAATGTGACAAGTTGTCATTGGAAATCTTTACAGCTTGTTAGCAGATGACTAGCTGATTCAGATATGTTTTCTACCATTTCCTTTGTGTCTGGGGGTGATGTTTTTTTCTTTCCTGTTCCTTTCTTATCCATACTGCTTTATTTTGCTTTTTAATCCTTCATGTCTCCTTCAAGTCAAAACATTTAACTTGCTTTAATCAATATTTTGTTTTGAAGATGTCCCTTGACCTTTTGTTTGTGCAAATTAACCTTCAAGGGCACCTCATTCATTCATTAACCTCAGTGGGATGCCATATCCCTTCTACATGGCATTTTAGGATGCATAAAACATTTATGAATGTTTAGAGATACTACAGTGTGTGACCGTGATATTGTTGCTTTTGCCACTACTGCTACTAATATCTTCGTTTTCCTTCTCTTCCATCTTTTGTTTTTTCTTTTCTTCTTTTTACTTTCTCTCTCTCTCTCACTTTTTTTTTTCTCTTTCTCTGTCCCTTTGCATGCTGTATGGGTGCAAGAGGAAGCAAAATAACCAGGTTGGGAGAACTTTCATTAGTGATTTTATTTTGAAAGCAGGTGTCGAAATTCTTTAGAAGCATATGCTGGCTCTCTTCTCTTCTCTTCTCTTCTCTTCTCTTCTCTTCTCTTCTCTTCTCTTCTCTTCTCTTCTCTTCTCTTCTCTTCTCTGCTCTGCTCTGCTCTGCTCTGCTCTGCTCTGCTCTGCTCTGCTCTGCTCTGCTCCTCTCTCCTTTCCTCTTTTCCTTCTTCTCTCCTTTCTTTCTTTCTCCTCCCTCCCCTCTCTCTTTCTCTTGGCCCTCCCCCACCAGCAAAGGCATGATCGTTGAGTAAATGGAAAAAAACATTTTACAACATTAAAGGAAGACTGTTTAGAAAAGGAAGGCCCTGCTGAGGTGTAGAGGAAGCCTGTTTATTAACACTGGACACCTCTTATCTCAGGCAGCTCCAGATGGATGTCCCATTGGTAATTCCCACTCTGTGCCAAGTGGGGTTAAGCAGGGTAACCACCTTGACGTGGGTTGGTGATGACCAGGGGATCATCGGCTCCTTCAGAGAGAAATTTTAGCAAGAACTGGGTTGGGGGAGGGAGAGCCACTGAGGCCCCCGAGTAAAAAGAAWGCGCGTGGCCAGATTTACCTTTGTGGCTGTAAATTGCTTGCTGCCTGGGACAGAGCCAGATTTTGATTGAGAGATAAAGTAGTTCAAATCTGTCAATAATTAACTGTCACTCAATTACGGGTTCCTTAACAAATTAGTACTTGGTAGCACCTAAGGTGCAGATTTTTCATGGGAAAAGACTTACTGAGTGACATTGGACATTAAGTTTGCCTACCCAATAAATATCACCTAATGTACTGTTCAGTTTAAATGCCACTGTGTAAATTTGGTGAGTTGGTTCCCAAACCATATTTTTGCCGGACTGCCGTTCAGGTTAACCATTTGTGTTAGCCAAGCTAAACAACACAGGTCTGCTAAGGGGTCCTGCTAGGATAGAGAGTTATCACTGCTTGCCTAAGTTTTCCTAGTTATCA